AAATTGACATAACATTTAGATGAAATAATGCATTGTCAAAAACTGTCAAACGTCAAGTTTGACATATGCATTCACAGAATTAGCATCGACTACTTAAGCAGTGAGCGCTTGGCTGAGAATAATACACAGTAAAAAAAAAAAACTAACAGGAGTTATTCCTGAAGCTTTGTATATTTCATTAAATTGATCATTTAAATACATATGCCTTAAAGTACTTAAATTCCTTTAAAGAAGATACTGTGTCTTAATAGAAAGCTTAGAGTTAACATACCTTGAGCAAATTTTGTTTTCTCTCTTTCTTTCTCTCTTCAAGCTTCTTGAGAACCAACTGTAAGTCTGCAACACCATACTGAGAACAGATGCTCTCATAGTCTCTTCTGTCAGCATTCAGCATCGCATCCCAGAATCTTACATCATTTTCTCCATCTGCCTTTTCAGCTTTACTAAGACATTGAATTAAACAATGTTTTTCAGTCACTTATACGACACAAAATGGTACCGAGGAATGTGTGGTGGAGTTACTTGATAGAGAAAATATTTCTTACCTTTTCTTTAGCAATTTTCTGAAATCTGTAGGATTTGTTGAAGCTTAAAAGAGAGATTTTTGATCAATCTTAAGTTGTATGTAATGACAGAAATGTAATTTAAATCAACGCAGTAGATAATTGATGCCAAAAGATTTCCAAAAATATTTAAAGCGTCCTAAGTTACCGTACTGGTGTTTGCCACTTTAACAAAGCATCCCCAGTTTATATAAATGCAAGAAACCGATTTTTCTTTGTGAATATGTAGGTATTTGAGTCAAGAAATGTATCACATAAGTCCTACCATCAATCACATTTAATGTGGTTGTGCAGACAGCTTTCCCATATTCATTCACAGCATAGCACTTGTATGTATCAGTCTCTTCATGGGTCACTTTGTGAATCTTAAAAACAATAAACAAAATGTACATGAGTATGTTTCTATTGGGTTTAAACTTTGCTTCTAGATATTTAATGGGGCATTTAAAATTGAGATATTTACCTCCAATATGTATTCCCCGGTTGAGTCTTCATATTTTCTTTGAAATTTTTCCTTATCTGAAAGAGTTCCTTTAGTTCTTCGCCATGATACATCTGGTTTTGGATCTCCTGTCACAACAGCTTTGAAGATGGCTGTTTTTCCTAAAAGGCATATTAAAGACTTTTGAATATTTTCTGTGTACCTTTGTTGAATTGAAATGGATGTTGAATTTTAAATGGCCCTTTAATGACACTTAAAGAAATACTGGTAATTTCTGAAACAATGCAGTTTCATAGATGCATATCATCAGTACTCATTTGGTTTACGGCACCCACCTTCGTTGATGGTAACAGGGACTGGTATGCATTGGAAATCAGGGGTGATTTTACCCTCTGGCAAGTTCACTACATACTGTGTGATCATCACCCCAGGGGTCTTGGATCTTTTCTTTACAGCAGCTAAATAAAGACATGGAAGAGTAGTAACTTCAGTTAACAACAACTTGATATGCGAAAATCAATCTAGCTCCACAGGATTTGCACCGTTATAGGTGTACAGATCAGAGCTCTCCTTTCTCGACACAGTTTCTCATTTCGAACCAGCAGATGTCAGGAATGTCAAATATATTTCCAGTGATGCTTTATGTATACAGTGACTATACAGTCTATTTTGAAAACGTGTGTCCTGTCAAAATGCCTCAAACAGAAGATACTCTTTTTGACTAAAGACGTGCATACAGTCATACTCTCTTGGAAGACAGACAAAACAGTTGTCATTTTACCTGGTTTGTTGCCAGACACTTCATTGAAACGCTGAATGTACTGGTGAACAATGGAAAAACCTGCATTAAAAAAAATAAAAAAATAAAAAAGCAAACAAGAAAAAAGGCATTCAATCATCTAGAAATGCATGAAGAAATTCTGTGCTAATGTTGAGAGTGGAGTAGTTTCTTATATTGTTGTATATGCATATTAGAGATTGCACATTAGAGAACGAAAACGAAGACTGCAGTACTGTACATGGTCTGGTCTGCCCCGTGTTCTTTGTTCTTTTCCACATCTTCCAAAGAGTTAACTGTTCAAAGGGTTACCTGCAAATAGATGGAGAACCTGAAAAAAAGAAGGGAAACCACTACTGTATTCACTTGTTAGGGTACATTACACATTAGCTTTTTCCCAGACTGTGATCATTTGGTTTAAAAAATTAGAAGAAAATAACATTTCAACATTTCTTTTCTTTTTTTTTTGTGCATCTATTGCAATTTTCCACTTAAATATCTGCTCTCCAATCTGGCTAAACAGCCTTGCATAGAATTAAAAAATAATTGAATAATTTCATCCTTACCAAGCCCTTTTTATAAATGCTTACCATCACCCTTTATATTGTCTAACAATTTAGATATTACAGTGATGATCATAGATGGATATAACCGAAACATCTTATGCAATATTAAGATATATTTGGGATTAAAACACTTTGTAGTGAATATATTTAGAGAGGATTTTCTACACATACCGAGTTTACTATAGATGCAACCTGGAAGTGTGGCATGTGATGCGACTGATAACATTCAGCTACTTACTAGAGTTTATTTATACATTTTTTTAATGAATTGCATTTGCTACTTTTATTTCAAAGTAATGATTACCTGTAAGTCTATTTATGGCAGATTGCTGTGCAGGAATAGAATCACACTTTGATTTGTGTTTAGTTTAAATCTCTCGTTTCCTATGTTTAAAAAAAATAAAATAGGCTTTCAACCAATTTCTGCCATCAAGTTGTTTGTAGGTAAGGGGTTGAAATCAAATCAAATTGGCAATTATAAAAGGCCAACAGCAGACATACTCTATATTAGGTCACACACAGAAGCAACAAACAGAAAATAGTGGTTTACCTATCTCCTGCAAGGTGTTTGCTCCCACGCAGACTAGTTTGTAGATGTATAAATCTACCGCTCTTGGATTCTGCTTTTTTTAATTACTTTGGATTTTTTAGTATTGCTGCCTATGGTTTGTGTCTTGAAAGTGCCGGTAATCTTCCTCTGTGGAGGCAGATGGATGCAGAGTGTGGGTTATTATTGAGGTGGTGTGGGGTGCAGGGGGTGGGGTCTCTTAACAGAATGAGAGGTAGAGGGAAGGGCTACAATAACAACTTTGAGGTTTGTCTCACACAGCAGTAATTAATGATGACAACAGACTCTTCTTTCACACAACAGCTGCACATGAAATTACCCTTTAACAATGTTATGATTATTACAGATATTGATACACAAATATCAAAGTGACGAGAGTCAAACAAGAATATGTTTTAGTGGAGAGTTCAATGCCTGCCAAGCATAGCTATAACTGCTCAAATTAAATTCTTTGCAGTTTAGACTTTGTCATTTGCTCATGATGGAATTTTAAACGTATAACAGTTAAAACTGCTGAAATGATTTAAGTGATTTTTTTCAAGTAACCTGGTCCTGGAAAGAATTTCTGATAATTTAGACAATGAAAGACTGTAAGTTGAAGGTAGAATTTCTGCATTTGTTATTCTTATTAATTGACCAGCTTGTTTTTTTTATTAAACTGTACCCTTTCCAGGATACCAGGAAGATCAAATATTGATGTTGCTAACAAGGCACTAATCCTCTTGTCTGCAGTGTGCCTCTCATGTTACGATATATTACATAATAAAGGTTGTGGTATTTAGACGGTATAAGCTCTTCGTCTCATGTCTTTGATTCAGTTGTGACTTTGGAATAAGAACAAAAAATGAAGCACACGGTACTATTGATCAAGGACAAACATTAGATTGTGCCATACATTTGTGTGTTTTCACTTTTGAGTCCTTTTTTTAAAGTGTGCTCCAAAAACCACTGATGTTGTATTTGAAAATCCTGACTTAAAAATGTCAATGCAGAAGGTGAATATTATCATGGTTGACATGAACACACTTGTTTTTTTTCAGTTGCTTATTTACATTCCTTAAAATACATCAGATTTTTATCCCTGTTATAATGTATCCCTGTCAATTACCTGTTTTTGTCACATTCACAACAAATGGCAGGGCTCCTTGTTGGTGGTATGATTCAGATATTCACCACTTATCTTTCAAAAAACCTTGCTAAAAAGATTACTATAAGATTGAAGGAAACCTTTGGGATCCTTTTGTAAGAACTTTAGTTGTTCCCCGACTTAAAGTACCTGCTTGCTCAGAACTTGGGCACATGACAGAATGTCAACTAAGATGACCTGAATTCACTATATTGAGCTTGCTGAAATAAAGATAAAAGTTTTGCTCATGAGGAAGATGAGTTGTTCCCATATCAGTCAATGACAGAAAAGAGCTTGGACTAGTAAAGGATGATTGTTTCACAAAGTTTGACAAAGATATTTTCATCCTGGTGTTGTACTAGGGAGACATTTTTCTGGTTTAGCTAGTAATACGATCTTACCAGTGACTGTACCTCCATCCATTCACGAGTTTTGATTTTCAAAGGTCACTTGCAATAGAGCCTTATGGAATATCTGGGTATCTTTGTGATGATCACAGCATTGTTTGTACTTGTTTTGAAGTTCTCTTTGCTGTTTACTTATCCCCAGTCCCCATGGCATTTAGATTGGGGGGAGTAGGTGACAGTTGCACCAAATGTGCTTTAGTAATACGACATACCATGGAAACTGTTTATCATCTGACTAAATAAGTCTGTAGCAAGCAGGATGTCTCTTTGGACAGCCAAAGGATCCACTGGCACAAGGTCCAGATGGTCCCAGCATCCTGACATGCTTGTCCTTCCACGTGCTGTACCTCTTAATTCAGCTCAATTGGCTCTTGAGTTGGCTTGAGCTTACATAAACCACTACGATTAGGAAATAAACCCTCAGTCTACGCTCCTTATATTGATGAAATGTCATGCTGCATAGCTTTCATTCCAGTCATGGTAAACCACAGAGGACTGCCGCTTAGGTGCTAACTAGACATCCTGGCCTGTCTCTCTGTAGTGTGATTGCTCTTGTGAGGGATACCTCAAAAGTACATTGGCTGAGTCCTTGTCATTGACCATTCAACAAGGTGTTAGATGATCCTGATTTAACTTTTCTGTGGTCAATTTGATTATTTGATTGAATTCCTTAACGCAATCAGACGTTTTGTAATTAGTTACCTTTAATAGGAGCTGGCATATGTGTTTTTGTCAAATTTAGCATTTGTAATATTATCATTACCAATCTACATCCAGTACGACAAGGATAATAAGTTTATATATAAATGAATCCCCCCCCCCCCCAAGATTGCAAGTACTTTCAGTGTTGTTCGATCAACCATTTATATCCACCTCAAAGTACATACTTCTTCATTGGTAAAGGTAGACAGGACAGTAGGACAGGATAATTATATTACTATAAACTACCCACTTGAAGGTATGGAGATCTTTGTGATGGAGTACCTCATTGGCTTGGTGTATATGCTAAAGCCAAAGAATCTAAGCACGATTAATTCTCCTCACTAACAAATAATCTGTGATCTTTAAATACTCAGGCTATGACACTGTCACTTTCAGTGCATTTGAATAGATGCACTTGTGACCTGAACAATCATAACAAAGCTTTACATACCTCAAAGCTTGTTTTTGGCCTGGATGGCATTAGGTATGTTTTCACTACCAAAAACAGAAAAGATCAGTTTAAGATGTGAACAACATGAAGGAAAGTGTAGCCAGGCTTTGATATTACACTCATTTTTAGAACTTTTCCTTAATGTTTATCTAAAAAAAACAAACATTTCAGAGTGATGTCATGCAGTAATTCATATGTTTAAAATGTTGAGGAAAACACTGAAGAATTGTGGATATTCGTAAATTGCTCTATTTTCCAAGAAACGGTGAAGGACTCAGTATGACAGGATCCCCAAATAACAAATCGGTGAACCCCTACTGTCCAGGTTATCGATTTTTTTTTTTTTCAATTGAATATACTTTATTATTGATCTCCAGGGAGAAATTGACTAAATTTCTCCCTCCTTTTGTTCTGCTTCCTGTCATGACTTCTTGATATGGAGGCCATGTGTTTTGTGCCACGGACAGGTGATATTACCTGTCTGTATTGTCAAATTTTGAGAGAGGTAAGAGAGGTACCGACGTGAGAGCTACTGGAAAGATTGTGCATACGTTGACTCATCGGAAAGACCATGTTCCACCACCTGCCGGAGTGCTTCCAGGATCCAGAAATTCCCAGGGTGAACTGGGTGGCGAGTCAGACTACTGTAGTGAACTTGAGTGTGCAAAGAATCCTTCAGCTCTTCCTTTCCTTTCCCACGGACTGTTTGGGTATAAGAGGGTTTTATTTTAGCTGGCTTTATTATTTCAGTTTGTTATTTTGGGTTTATTGTTCTAAAAAATGCATGTTTACATTTCACCTGTTGGTTTATGATAATAGGTAGCTGCACTAATTTAACAAAACGTTTTTTTTGTGTCATTATAGATGTTCAAAAGTCTGATACTGGTCCAGTGATTGCTATTGATATTTTCCTGTGTCCATTAGCATACCATAACAAAGGGTTACTGAAGAACTCTGAATGGTGTATCAAAGTAAAATATTGAAATCTTTGCTGCTCTTGTATGCTCTGAAAACATTAAAATCCAAGTATGTCAAGAGCAGGGCGTTGCTGGAGACCAGATACCCTTTTTGTGTCAACAATTGATTTTTTTTTTACTTGTCAGTTGTAGTTGGATTTATTACAACCTTTTTATGCTGAGCTGCATATTTATGAACAGCAGACTGTTGAAGATTATCTTTAGACAATGTTAAAAAAACAACAAAAAGAAAATCCGGACCAAGTAGAATTTAAAAGCTGTTATACATACAGATGCTGCTGCATTGTCACAGAAATTTGAATATAATATATAGTTGTCTGGTGTTGAGTTGCAGGAGAATGGAATGGATTAAATGAGGAAATTAGAGATTGCTTCTACTCCAATTTAAAGGCCTGCCTCTGCTGACCAAGGTCTTCCCTGTCAGAGCATGTGACTATGGTATGACAACTGGAAGAGCACTGTTAGCTTTGGTGAAATTAGTTAT